CATTAGAACCGTCTCATCAAGACGAATCGAATGGCGGTAAGATCATCTCTCTACGATTAATATTGGTGAAGTTACGATACAATAAAGTTTTAAGTATAATTCTGGCTAAAATTATGTTAATTTTTGGCCGAAATTATGATATACAAATATAAGAAATTTTTTATATAGTCACATCTTTTTATAATCACCAAATGTGGACTGTCCCAAATGTGTGACTATAAAGAGAGTTGACTGTAATTAAAAAACTAAAGAAATATCTCAAAAAGCATAACTTGATGTAAGTTTTGAATATAATGCTATTTTAATTTTACTAAAAGAATATAATAATGTTATGGTAAGCATTTATTGGCGCATTTAATAAATTTACAATGATAATATTGGAATTTTAATTATTAAATGCATGTATTTATTTTTGATCATACTGCATATTAATATTAGTTACTTTGAATTTTTAGGATGCTGAGCATGAAAATAGTGATTCAAATATTGATTATCAAGTTAATATAGCTCAAATATCTCTAAAATTACTGATAAATCAAGTAGATTGGGAAGATATTATGGAAATATGGCATATTACTTATCTTATATATAGATCAAACTCAACACCACATTTTGTGATTCTTTTATGTGATTATGGATATATTTGCAACTGTTTAATGATTTTGAACTGTGAATTAGTGTGCCGTAATTTTTTCCAGGTCATGATTTGCAGTTTAAGGTTGCTTGTCTAAACCTCTTCAAAATCCTACGATTAATTTCGTCAAAATTTTACTATAGATTTATTATAGTTTCGGCAGAGTTTCAGCAGTTTCGGCGTTTATAATAAGTTTCAGCAGTTTCGCCATTCTCCAAAGTTTTGCCAGTTTTTTAATATAACTTTAATCTAGTTTCAGCAGAATTTTGCTTTTCGGCGAAACGCCATCTTGCCTAAACCCCTAGGTTTTGGCAAGCAACCTTATTGCAGTTAATAAGCACAGTTTAGTATTTCTTTAATTAAAAAGCGATGGTTTAAGTTAGAAATTTATGGAAACACATTTAATGATTCAGAGAATTTTAGTAATTTAAACGCATTTATGAATGTAAATGGGAATCTTTTACACGTACAACTACCAACAATTTTAGATGTACTTAGAGAAGAGAACTCAATAGATAATATTAACATGAAAATCCAAGTATGGCATTTGTATAGTAATTTGTTTAGAATTGGTCGTAAAATTGCTTAAATTGCTACTGAAAAAAAATGATTTGACGTCTTAAATGTTTTAAATTAGGTTCTAGAAGAATTGTATGACACAGATAAAAGTATTGATGAATCAGATTTAAGAAAAATTCTTAATCCACATGTGGTTAAATTCAAGGGGAGGCTGTGAAATAAAAGATTTAAAAGTTCTGTTGAAACATGCAAAAATTCCAATAAGAGTATTAGTTCAAATACTTTTATTCAAGATAATAATGTGTATGGAAGCAGCAGTTTACAAGGTAAAGGATCAAAGACATGTAGTAATTGTAATGCATCTAATCATAACATTAGACGATGCATAGCATCATGTAAATTATGTAACAAGTAAGGTTATACTTATTTGAAGTGTAAAGGAAAAAATGTGGGAGGTAGTAATTCTAATTAGAATTGATAAAAATTTAAAGAATTCCATCACATGTACCATAAATATTGAGATGCAATAATTTTAATTTTTGCTGATCGTAGTTTTTATTGTAATAATGTGTTAATTCAAGCGCATTTAATGCAAAGATATAACCTATAAAATTGTATTAAATTTACAATAATAAAGATATTAAAGAAAGTAACAAATAATTTGCGATTTTATGTGTTATAATTATACAATTTATAAAATTGATATATATTGAAAAATTTTTTGATTAAATTCAATTTTTACTAAAAGTTATGCAAGTAAAAAAGGGGGTGGCAAAAAATTAAATACCATCCTGGATGGCATCCAGATAACTCCATTATTAAAATTGATCAAAATGCAAATGACAAAATAGAAAAATAATTTTGATAATTTCAACATAACAAAATTCACTAATTTCAACAAGCAACTTTAGTAACACTGTAACAATGTAACATAAAATTTTCTTTTATAATAGGATCTGCAAAGAATTATATATATGATTTTTACTTAGACATGGGATGACCTATCTTATGAATAAGCAGGGTCCTAGTTTTTTCTGCTAATAAGTTTAACAGTATTTACTATATATATATGCTTCATTTATTTAGGCCAACCTTTAAAAATTTAAGAAAAGAACTATCTTTAATATTATTAATAAGTTGTTTGACTTTTAAATACAGTCAACTCCCTCTATAGTCACTCCTGTTATAGTCACATTCTACTATATAGTCACACCAGTTGAATGTTCAAAACACTTTATTATTAAAATTTATTCTATATAGTCACAATCTATCTATAGTCACTATCACACCTATCCTCAAAAATCTTATATTAAAAAGAACCGTTTATAATCACAGTTATATAAAGAATATATTAAATAACTTGGCATCTAATAATCGTACAAAGATGTATCATAGCTTGTTAGAATCGTCTCACTGAGACGAATCGAATGGTGGTAGTTTTATCCTTTTCCTTTGCAAGTGTTTACGGCCAGACCACCCATTGCCTCTTATGAGACTAATCTCGGGTCTGTGTCCTATCATCTTCAATGGGCAACCATTATACCGAGTACTTAATTCCTCAGGTAACAGCACCACTATAGAAGACATCCCCCATCGGGCCATTTTAGGCTGATCTGAAGCTAGGTACACGCCGCCTACTCATCCTATACCCATTGCATGATACTGATACTCAATTTATTTAACGACCTTTAGAGAGCATCTACTTTCATGGAGGACTTTCGACAGGTAACATCAACCATCTAGTACCCTTCCATACCACCATTTTAGGTACTAAGTCTCACTCAAAGGCCACTACAGCCCGCGATTACCTAGCACCGATAGTACAGTTGTTTACCCCAAGTGGTATACTTTGTAGTGACTACTCGGACAGGAAGTAGCAGGCATCTGTCCAGGATCACCCCTTATGGTGGGTATCAACCACCAGGGATCACCAACCAGGACCCAAGGAGTAGGGAATCGAACCCCATAGCCATGCTACCTGTTCTGTGCACGAACACCTTGGTTGGTCTAAGACCTAACAGAAGGTCTAACTACCACTAAGACATTGCACCCTCAGCTTTACCATCTAGGACGACCATCTAGCCATTACTGACCCCAAGCGGTATCGTAGAGTGACCACCCGGACAGGAAGTCCCCCCCAAGGTATAGTAGTGACCTCAAGGACAGGACTGCGCACATGCCAATGGCCTCATAGGGAACGTTAGAAGGACACCATGACCCTTAGTTGAAATGTGCGGCCTAACCGTACACACTAATTCACCATGATGCAGTCCAACTACACTAATCCCTGTACCTTCACGCTATTGGTTGTAGCGTCCGCAGTAAAATTCTTTTTATTTCCGTGGTCATGGGAATCGAACCTGCGACCTCACTATACTCAGGCTTAATGAGGGTCTCAGTGACTAACCACTGAGATAGGGTGACCAACCCCTAGTTTTATCCTTTTACAATCACTGGCTGATGAGTTATTCAACAAAATGTTAAGTATTGGCATTATTATATTTCTTAATTTACGTTTACTGCGCCATTTAACATTTTGCTAAATTTCTCGGTACCTAGTAATTGTAAAAAGACGATTAATAGCTCGTTGAAATCGCCTCATCAAGACGAATCGAATGGTAGTAAGCTTATCTCTCTGTGATCAATATTGACGGAGTTACTACTTAAAAACCATTTAATATTTTTTAATTTCAGAAATTGATCTAGTGATTGGATTTGGATGTATTTTATACCATTAGATTCGTCGCATCAAGACGAATCGAATGGTAGTAAGATCGTCTCTCTAGAATCAATATTGGCAGAGTTATTACACAAAACCATTAATATTTTTTTAATTTTGGAAATTAATCTAGTGATTGGATTTGATGTTTCTCTACAATTAATATTGGTGGAGTTACGATACAATAAAGTTTTGAGTATAATTTTGGCTAAAATTAGGTTAATTTTTGGCTGGAATTATGATATACTAATATAAGAAATTTTTTATATAGTCACATCTCTTTATAATCACCAAATATGAACTGTTCCAAATGTGTGACTATAAAGAGAGTTGACTGTAGTTAACTACTAGTTGTTTGTTATTGCTAAAGCCATTTTTTATTGAAAAAGTTGCTGATAATTTCTTGAGAAAAAATGATTTATACAATTGGCAGAAAGAATTCCCTTTAATAATTACAGTTATATTTGTAATTTAATTATAAATAGAATTTTTTTTTATTTGTTTAATTTTACTAAAAGCAATAGCTTTATTAAAAAGTTATAATTTTACATAAATATAAAAATCCTTCAAAAACAATTTAATAAAATGCAATTCTAAAATAAATCAAAAACAATAATAAATATCAATATTTTATATAAAAAAAAATTTATTTATTATATATTTTCATAATTTTTTTTTTATTAATTATTAAATATAATAAAATAATTAAAATATAATTTCATTAATAGCTTGATTGATTCTATCTTCTTTTGCTTTAATAGATATGATTTTTAAAATACTTTCTATATCAAAAACTTTAGCAGCATCTTTAGCAGCTTGATTTTGATAAATCTAAAGTAATTATTTAAGCATTAGTATAAAAATTTAAATTAACATACAATAGTAAATAGTTTAATTCTTACCAATGTTCCTAGAGTAATAAGAGCTCTATATATAACTTCAGAATCTATCTCTGATTTAAGAAGCTAAGAATTAAAAAAAAGAAAAATTTTTAATTGTTTGAAAATGCTAATATTTACAATACCAATTGTTACATACCTCTGCTAGTATTGCTATTAATTGAAGAATATTATCCTCATTTTTATTTGAACTTGTTTGATATAAAACAGCAAAGCTAAACAAAGTAAAATAAATAAAAATTTATAAGTATTCGGGTGTAAAAATGGCACAGCTTATAATTATAAAATATTAAATTACTTGAGAAATACTGTTGCTCGAGCAACACGGTTATTTTTACTTGAGCTTTTATCCCATGTGGATGATAGTAATTCTAAAATCTAAAATAATATAATATATCAAATGTTAATAATTTGAATTATTTGAAAATTTTTTCCGTTAAGATTTCCAATTACCTTGGAAGCCTCACGACCTAAAACATCTCTTCCCTCCTTAATTTCAAATAGATTTGATAATGCTCTTAAACCTAACATTACATTTGTATCTTGATCTTTATCAGGTGTGCTATCTTTAGGCCAGGTAACAATACCAGCAAAATTAGTGATCAAATTTATGATACTCTCATCATTGTCAATATGTTTAGCGGGGATTGGAGTATATAGAATTTGGAGACGTAGCAAGTCAATGCCTATGATTATTAATTAAATAAAGTGAATAGTATATTACTATAATAATAGTTGAGATTAAATTTATAATAATTATTTATACCTGGAAATCGATTCTTAAATGACCATTTAGTAATTATTTTACGAATTACATCAAATTCGCTTTGATGATCACATGTATGGGTTAAAGGATTTTGTAGAAATTGACCCAATTTTTTTAAAGTTGAAAGTTCATTAGTTGTCAACGCAATTTTTTGAGTTTCTTCATTGATCAATAAGGCTTCGTTAATTTGGTCAACTTTTTTTAAGATGCCTTGAATATTTGCTTGCCGAAAAGTAAGATAAGTTCTCTAAAATTTACAGAAATAACCCGTGTAAAATATTTCGAGGTATAAATAAATTAAATTAAATAAAGAAAGCTCATAATCACTTGTGGAATTATCTTAGGTTGCATATTTGACGTTGTTCCTGGACGAGTCCAAGGATCCATACCGGTAGTGGAAGTATTCTATAATTAAACCAAATATGTTAAATACTGGAAGTTGAATGATTATTTAATTGGGATCACATAGAGTTCATTTTAATATCTTACTTGAATGTTCGAAGATGATGCTGAAGGAGTATATCTTGATGAGCCTGCAAATTTACAAGTAAATCGGATGTCTTCCAAAGTTAAATTAAATATCAAATAAAATTATTTTTATACCAGTAAATGGGTCAACGTATTGTGAACTCGTGCCCAACGAAACACCTTGTGCATTTTTAGTTATAAAATTTGCAATCTGATCTAAATAGCTTTGTGGAAGTTCATTAGCCGAAATGAAATCTTGAGCTGCTTTATACGGATTATCTAAAATAATTTGTTTTTGTTAACAAGTAAATATATTAATTAAATGCGAATATATGTGTATAATTATACATTACGAACCAGAAGCATTGTATGGAAGTTTTAAAGGTGGGACTCCATCTCCAACATCAACATCGAACAAATAATCATATTCTTTTCCATTATATAATTGTTTTCGACCTTGACCAACAGCATCAACAACATCGCCCACTTTGTGCCATGTTTGATCGACTTGACTCCACTTATTATAATTAATAAGAATCTAAATGATAATTCCAACACTAAATAATTATCACCATTATACATATACGTACTTGATGAGCCTCAACTTTATCATGTACTCGCACCATAATAACTTGTCCTTCCTTTTTGCCTAGAATTTAATAAAATCGAAATAAGGCAATCTAATTGCTTCGAAAGAAAAAAAATTTCAACTTTATAAATAAGCAACCTGGTTGAAGCAATGCTTCCGATCCTGGAAGCTCATCTTTCTTTAAATCTCCCAATTGATTTCTAAGAATTATAAGAATATCATTATGAGAATAAAATATATAAATGTGTGATCATATAATTTTACATACGCAGGAATCGCGTGATTTGAAACTTGTTCATCAAAATCCTATTCATAATATAAATCGTTATTTTGGCAAATGTTTTTACTAACTGGTAAAAATTCTGCATACCTTTAGTACAGGTTGTTCTGCAATACGTTCTTCGGCCCTTGTAAAAATACGAATCACACCATCGCTTGCGCCACTAATGATATCTCCATTAGGCATTGCAGCTACACACCATACTGATGTTGCAGGATGTAGAATAGTTTGTATACATTCGCCACCTAAAAATCATCACATTGCTCATTAAAAAACTATATATATATATTAAATAAATAAACGATTAAAATCTTGAAGATACCTTTCCAAACTCTCACTGATCGGTCTTCTCCACTTGATATAATTTCACCTGTAGGTAATACGTCAATGCTATACACAAAGGATGTATGTTCATTTAATTCATGAATACATTGTCCATCTAATGTCCATATACGAAGAGTGCTAGATGAGTTTGTAAATCGAAAATTTAATAAAGCACTTTTTAATATTATCAACTAAAACTTGAATTCATTGTAATTGATACCAATATCATACCTATCATTTCCACATGAAACGAAACCTATATCTGGTAGTAATGCTAACGCCCTAACACAGTCAGTGTGACCATATAAAGTTTGAACGCGTTTCTCATTCTGCCATTTTATGATAGTTTTGTCAGCTGATCCTAAAAATCGGTATTTTCATATAATTAATAACTTGTTTATAGAAGAAATTAATTGAATCACACTCACCGGTAAATATTAAGTCATCATCTACAGCTAAAACTGCCCATACAGCGTGGGAATGTCCTTCCAAAGTACACGCTTCTTGCCAATTTTTCCAAATTTTAGTTGTCCTACGGTGATGATACATTAAGAGAAATTTTAGAAACTTCATTCCATAAAGAAAAATTCTTCAAACATACTTATCCCAAGAACCAGAAACAATATAACCGGATGGTGTAACATCTAACGCACAAACATTATCAGAATGCCCAATTAACGAATAAATTGGATCTTGTGCATTTTCAAGATCAAAAACATTTATGGTCTTATCACTGCTACCACTAACTACAAGACCTTTATAATAATTTCCGATATAAATTGTTAAATTAGAAGTACAAGTTTAATCAATATTAAAGTCAAGAAGTTCTTGAAATAATACCCTTAGTATATTCAGCAGTTGGATTAAGAAATGCAAGCGAGTTAACGAAACTTGCATGTCCCAAATACAATTTACTCTCGGAAAAAGCGTTTGCGCCGATTCTCAACCAGCTACGTACTGTCTTGTCTCGAGACGCGGAAATAACCAAATCTTCATTTGGTCCTCGGACAGCCTTGATCTTTTATATTAAATGAAGGGCACCATTTAGAAAGCTACAAAATTTAAACTGATATCAACTTTAGTTCTTACATCTGAATCATGGGCAGCTAAAATCGAAGAAAGCTGAAAGGGACTTGTCTGCTTCATTGTTGTTAAAAGAACAAAAAAAAAAATGGTATGTATAGTACGATACATCTTTTTTGACTTTGTCACCCGGCAGGCACGTGATGAAATCGATGAAATTTTAATTTACCAATCAAACCATTGATCATGAATCACTGATTTTGAAAGTTTCTCATTATGGAAGAAAATAATGATAAAATACGCCGTTTAATTATAGCATCTTTTTATATTGTTATTTTATTTGGTTTACCTTTATGGTGGAAAACTACTGAAGTATATCGAGCGCAACTACCTTTTGCTGAAATTGAAGAGTGGTCAAATTGGGAGGTTAGTAACTGGTAAAACTTTCACTCGAGTGTAAAATAATTATATATATATTTTTTTTAATAGGCATTTGATCTTGAGTTTCCAACACTCTTTATAATTTATGTTGCTAGTGTTGAATCAAGTACAATTAATTTTGCAAACTTATCTTCAAATTTGGAAAATTCTATTGCATCAAGATACAATGTCGATAATTTTAAAGCAAGCAATGAAAAATATCAAAAATCGATGCAATTTCCAGTTAAAGTAAGATCATTAGATTGGAATAATTGGAGAAATGGCCTTCAATATGGTAAGAAATAATATATGTTGATAATCTGCACTTTTTCATCTAATTTTTTTTTCCTCTGTGGAATATTTTATAGGAAATCTTGAAAAATTAAATGTGGTAAGTGAAAATGGACAATATATACTTTACATTTTGCCAAGTACAAATTCAAATCCAAATACCAAAGTTTTGGTGGGAAATCAAAGACAAGCAGTTATAGAAATAAATCAATGGGATATAAGTAAGTATGATTTAAAATGCGGGCTACTTTAATTGAAGGAGAATGTTGTATTTAACAAATTTTAATTTATTAGAAGTAATTGAAAAAACAGTTTCTGATCTCATAGTTAGTTTGTTCATGCCAGAACAAGCTGCGATCAAAAAATTTATAATGGAACCATTATCGAATTCAAAGGTTGAATTAGATAGCATGAGAACAATGAAATATTCACCACAATATCAAGTAACATTTAGTCTTATGAATGGAGATCCTTCAGATTTACTTGTAAATTGGGATATAGAGGAGGCAGTAAATAAATACCTGCAACTGTTTGTTAATAAAATTTCCGTGATTTCAAATTTGACAGTAGATTCGCAAATTCAGCATTATGCAAGATTAACATTTGAGCCATTTCATAAAGCAGATGAGAATTATTTTTATTTGACACCGGAATTGCTGCCTCATTTCATAAATGCAGCTGAATGGAATCTTGCATCTGCTGTATCATCATATCCAACACTGAACTTTATTTTGTATGTTCCTTCAAAAGATCAAAGTCCATTGTATATTCAAGATTCTAAAGGTATTTTAAAAGTATCATAAATTTATGTATTTTAAATATTTGTTACTAACTTCATCAACAATTGTAGGTAATATTATGGAAAGCAATGCCTTTTTAATACCAAGATGGGGCGGAGTAATTATTAAAAACCCAGATCGATCTACTGGAGCCCATAATTTTTCACTTGAGGAATTAAAATCAATCATGTCAATATTTATAACACAACTAAGAGGATTATTAGGCGTTCATGATGTTTGGACTGAAGCGAAGCATGCCTTGGTATTTATATTTTCTTACATAAATACTTTTAAATTTATGAAATTTGTATATATGTATTTATTTATTTTTCAATTATAGGATGTTACAACTAATATTGAATTTGTTACACCTCCAAATACAGCAGTCACAATGTGGGAGTTTGACAGTTTAACAAGGAGACGTATAGCGGAAAACATTATAACTTCGATAACAACATTAAAATCATTGTCGCAATTAGTAACAGAAATTCCAAATATGGTTGTATTAGATCATATTCAAACTGAGGTATTAATGCTTATATAATATTCAAATTAATAAATTTTAATTAATTTTTTAATCTTATTATTTATTATTTATAATAAAAGGTTTTTTTGGCATTGGATAACTTGGCAAAGGTATTTTTATTTAATTTAATATTATAATTTTTTTTTTTTAGTTTGTTTTATTAAAATATTTTATTTATTAAAATTTAGTCCTGTGCAAATTTGCATAATAATCAATATAATCTGGCATTATACCATTCAAAAAAAGCAATCGAACTTGCTGAATCTGCATTTTTTGATCCTACAATGGTATCAATGCTCTATTTTCCAGATGAACACAAATATGCTATATATATGCCTTTATTTGTTCCAATATCTGTACCTTTACTTGTTGCACTTCATAGAGAAATTAAAAGTTTTAAAGAAAATAAAAAAGCTATTAAATAGAAATATTTTGATTATTAAATATTTTAAAATATAAAATAAAAATAATTATATTATAATTTTGTATAAAATTATATAAAATTTGATATTACTTTCACTATATATATTTAATTTTAAATTTTAAATTTTAAATCATATTTCCATTAATTCTTTTTATTTTTTCCATTATTTTTTTATTTTTCCATTATTTTTTTTATTTTAATTTTTATTTCTTTTTTTTTGTTTTTTTTATTTTGTTCTTTTAGATATATTTATTTTACAATTTATTATTAAATAATTCATTTTGATTATTAGTAAATAATTGTAAAATTGCATATATAAATCATTAAAAAAAAAAAAAAAAAAATAATTGTAAAATTGTTATTTTTTATTTTTTTTATTAACAGCAAAATTTAAAATATGCAAATAATCAGTAATTTTACTACTAAAAACTTTGCTAAATTTGCAGATTGGTAGTATAAAGAATATAATTTTTATATATCATATGCAATATATTTAGTATTCTAAAAAAAATCTGATCTGATTTGTATCTATAGATCTAATTCAAAATAAATTAAATCAAATTATATATTTTATGATTTGTAATCTGATACAAATTAAATTAAATCAAATCAAATTAACAATTCACTAAATTCAAATCAAATTAAATTAATTGCCGGTCCGTCATTCAACAGTACAAAATTAATTTGTAGATCTGGTACAGATTTTATATGAATTATGTTAATTGGCATATTTTGATGTCAATTCTGTCTCATAAGATCATGTCTAAATGTAACAATAACTCACCAATCAATAACATTAAATGTGAATAAGCTATAAAAAAAAAATTTTTTATCATTTGATATAAAATTTAACAAGTTTACCTTAGAGGAAGTTACCATTTCAACTTATATTTTAGTTAAGTAGAGATTTTTTATACAAATTTTATGAGATTTTTTTTTACACTATTAAAAAAATATATATTATTNAAAAAAAAAAAAATATTTTTTTTTATTTTTCTTTTTAGTTTTTTTTTTAGCACCTTAATTCTACTGGTTTTGGAAAATATACCCAGGTAATGTAATAGGACCCAAACAATATATATATATAGGTCAGATGAAAAATTTAAAATTTACTAAAGTCAATAAGCAAATATTTTTTATGTCTGCTAAGCAAACTTTTATCTAACCTATAAATTTTTTACATTGCTAAGCTAACATATATATATTTATATATAATTTTTTTTATAAAATATGTATATAAAAAAAACTAAAAAAACAAAAATTTTTGAAATAGTGTATGGATAAAGCTATTATTATTTTTTTTGTAATATTACAACTTTATAAATATTTCTTATTAATATTTTCGTATATCTATTCTGTGAATTCAGAGCGTAATTTAAACCCTTTAGTCAAAGAAAACATCCAAAACCTTCTTAAGTAAAGTTGTTCAGCAGGTTCGAATCTACTTATATATAAATTTTTATCACAATTGAATAGATATTTATGGATTTATTCATGTTTTTTGTAACGCCATCAGTGTAAAATTATAAAAAAACAGAAAAACACTTATTTTTCACTTCTCACCTACCCGTTACTCTCATTTTTAATATATATTTTTTAAATATTATATGGACACGTATATGATTTATAATTTTAATGTTACACAGACACGTATTTGTTTTATCAAAAATATATTATATGATCATGTCTAAAAATATTTCCTGTATTACATATACAATTAATTTAATCTTTATATTAAAAATAGTAAATTCTTTTTACACAAATATGTTTATAACTTTATTTACATATTTTATTAGATTTTTTTAATGTGAAAAATGTAAAATATATATTATATTATATATACACTACTAGGACAAAAGTAGCGGACCTTATATTTATGTTAATCACAAAAAATCGTACATAATAACAATACTTGAAATTTTAATATGTAGGAATATAGATTTTAAAGAATATATGTTTAAAATTTTATAGTTCTAGCTTTCATATAACTATATTAAACTTAGAAAGAAATTTTAATAATTATTACACCTATTCATATAAATTTAACAAATAGTACAAATAGTTCAATACATTGCCAGTTTATTTAAAATTATACATAATAATGATGCCTGAAATTTTAAATATGTGTTAGTACAGATTTCTGATTAATATATATATATAAACTTACTTTACTAGTTTTGATTTTATATGGGTTATAACAAAAAAAATTGTAAAAAAGATGATTAATTTTTAAAAATCATGATTCTTTTTCATTTTCTAAAAATTTTATATAATAAAATATTTTAATTTTATATTGTTTGAAAGCCATAATTTTGGAGAATAAATATGTGAATTTTTATATTCATATCATTCCTAGAAAGCTAATAATTTAAAAACATAAAATACCATTCAGAAAATTTTAATTTAATGATTATTAGAAATTTTTAAATTGGTTTTAATTGACATGGCTATATAAAGGTTAAAGACATAAAATTTTGATTATATATTCTTTTGAATATATGCTATTACATATTTAAATTTCAAGTAATTTTATTATATATAATTTTGATTAATTAATAAAATAAGGAGTTATTTAAGTTAGTATAATAATTATCAAAACAATTTTTTCAATTTATAAAGTTGTATAAAAGCTAAGAACATCAAATTTTGAACATATGTTCTTTGGAATCTATATTATAACAAATTAAAATTTCAAGTATTGTTATTATGTACGATTTTGAGTAATTAACATAAATATAAGGTCTGCTACTTTTGTCCTAGTAATTAAGGATGGTGCCGTAATTGGGCAATTGCGGATTAATTGCGGATCCGCAATATTGCAGATTTGCGGATTTCAGAAGTCCAAATATCCGCAAATCCGCAAACCGCAATTATCCGCAAATCCGTAAAAAATCCGCAAATTAGCCAATTAAATACTGTATCATGATCATTACTCAATCTATATATTTATATCAAATCATCAAATTTAGTATTATTACTCACTCTATTATAATATAATCAATTTATAATGCATCAAAACATCAAAACAATTGTATCTAAATTCTTC